ACTTCCCACTTTTAACAGTTCTAACCTCACCTTTTTAAGATTTGACACTTGACACGATACCTGACATAACATTAGATACTGGCAACGTTGTACTCGAAGGGGGCTACAATTAGCCGCTTCTGAATTCGATGGCAAAGTTGCCAAAGTTTATGACAAGTTGTGATCTGAAGTCACTGTTGCCAAATTTTGTTCGGGTTGGGGAAGTTGAAGGAAAAACCAGATATTGCCCAAAACGCTCTTTGCAAACGGGACTGTGGATATTTTGTCAATCGGTAATCGGCCTTAAACAATTTTTTTTTCGAATCTTATCTGTTCTTGGACTAAATTTAAGTTAAAATGTCGGTAAAAAATGTAATAAATATATTGTGATCTTGGTCAAAGTGTGAATGCGTCTGCGTGCAATATAGAGCGGCTCAGACAGAAAAAAGTATACGTTGTTCTAGCCTCATATGTTCTGAGCAATTTGGATCATCAACTGTCTGTTTATTCTGAGGCATTCGAGAGATGTTCGCTTTTTATGAGACATTTCCGCAACGAGATTTATTTAAACTTGCGTGTTTAAGTGCGAAGAAACGAATAGTAATAATAATAATAATTTTATTACAAGCTTGGAGCTGTTAACCTCTATTTATTTTAACTCTACTAATTAAAATCTTGTGAATGGCGCCGGATGAACAGACGATTAAAGATCCAAATTACCCAAAAGACATGAACTTTGGACTTACTCATATTGCCCGCAGAAACTTTTAAACTTTCACCAAAAAAATGCAATCAAATTAATAATGAGTTTAATATTTGAAAAAATAAAAAGTGAAAATTGAAAAAGGACTTTTAGTTTCTGAGACATCAACACTCAGTCAACTGGCCTAAAAAACTAAGTGAAAAATTCGGCAACACTGGTTGCGTCTGCAAATGTCGTTTTTCATGACGTACCTATAGGGTGTCTCACGCCACTTGACAGTTACGTCAAAATTTACCGCGCTAATTATTGCGTCAGTGCCAAAAAGCTTGATACAGACTATACATCATTATGTAAATACATATTTTCTGGTGAACACTCGAGAAAGACTGCCAAATCTGATCAAGCAACAGTTGCGACATAAACTTGTCAGCAGTTGACAGCAATGACAGTGACAGTGGCAGCTGCCATTTTGACACAAATGCTCAATATATACAGGAGCTGTTCGTTTAGTGTGGTGGTGTATTGACTCGTGAAATAGCTGAGCTATTTTAGAGTTGATGTTGGCAAAAAATCTAATTAGAGTATCAAATTGCAAAGCGTAGCAGTCAATTTAGTATAATTAGCGCGCAAGTGTAATCTACGAGGCCCGAGCGAATCATTATTTACCCGGATAATTAAGTAGCGCAATTTAAAGCTGAAGACTTTTAACTCCCTGGGCGGCAATTGCTATCCGCTTTTGACACCGACTCTTAATGTAGACTTTTCAGTCCCTTGGAACAATGCTCTTAGGCCAGTGGAACGAGTCGAATCGATTGGTTTCCATCGAAGTTGAACTGGAAAAATCAACCGATTCCGAACAGGAATTTCTCGATTTTGGCGCTCTGAAATTGGCTGTTTTTCCGCGAACAGCAAATCAGGAAAACCACCCGAAGTTCTTAATTTTCTCGTTGTAAATTGCTGTGGGAAATGCCGACGCAGTTTCCATTTAAGAAAGGAAAATGTAGCTGGAGGAATTTGGTGGGGCAATTAAAATTTTCGGCTTTTCACAACGCCATTACCGTAAACTGGCTGGCTGGTTTCCCCAAAATCGTGCCGGCAAAGCTCTGTTATTGCCGGCAATAAAGCGACATTGTCGAAGGGTTCTTATTTATGATCGGACATCTGCCAGATTTTCGGGAAATTGCCCCAAAAGTATCTGCTGTATCTGACGGCGATGCCAATTATCCGCACTGGAGTCAATTTTGTCTTGGCAAAAAATCCCCGAGAAACCATGCAAAGTTGGTTTAGAGCAGTTTGATCGCGGTTGGACGGTTAGGTTGGTTTGGGCGGTTGGATTTGATCGAATTTTGTATCAAGTTTTAGCCTCGTAACGAGCGAAAAACCCTGTATATTCGGCGAATAACTGAAAAATTGAATTTGAATTTCAGGCCAGTGATTTGAACAAAACTGGTCGTTCCACTGTGTGATTCTGTCGGATTTTTTTATTAACTTTTCTGGATTTTTAATGCTCCGACACTAATTAGATCCTGCAGGGAAAATTCCAGCTTCCGCGTCCTCAAATATTTAGCCCAAAGAACAATTTAAAAATGAATGCAGTTGAGTCCGGATATAACGAACTTGAAAAATGAACTAAAACTGGTTTGTTATATCCGGAGTTCGCTATAAGCGAATAGTAATACAAAAACACGTGGTGTATTTTATTTCGTTATTTTTACATAGAGTAGTAGAAGTTAGTGGGTGTGACTAAAAAGAACACAAAAAATAAACAAAATTCAATTTGAAATC